GGGGAGAAGGAACGCGGGGGGAGCGGACTCTGCGAGGGAGTCGGTGAGAGACTATGGGGAAGGACCAGGAGCTGCTGGAAGCTGCTCGCACCGGCAATGTGGCTCTGGTGGAGAAACTCCTGTCTGGCAGGAAAGGAGGGATCCTGGGCGGTGGATCCGGACCCCTGCCCCTGTCTAACCTGCTAAGGTAAGGGAGGGCACCTGCTCGGGGATTGCACCCCCATGCCTGGTGGTGGGTGCGTGCCGCCCCTCCTGGCGATTGCACCTGCTGGCTGCCCGCGGTTCATTCTTAAATTAGGCGGGGGATCCGTGTGTGGGGACGGAGGCTCGAGCCTCCCGGTCAGATGGACGCCGTGGATTCTTCGAGTAATTTTAAAATAGCCTTCCATCAATGCGCCCGTAGCTACTTTTCTCAGAGCCGTGGTGCAGAACTTGGACATGTACTGGCGTTGTTGGAAGAAAATCGGCGTTCCACCTGCCTTCCATCAGTGTTTATTCTGTCATTTCAGCCTTTTCTGGGGTCGGTTTAAGTGAAATTGGCAGAGCAGCTACTGCGCGCATGCAGTTTCCCTGCAAAAGCCACAGCCTTCGGTGGCTGCTCCTTTCTCTTGCAGGAGGCATTCGCCTTGCTGTGGGTTATGAGCCCACAGAATGAAGAAAGTGAACCCGCCGATGAGATGGCAAGCAGTGCAGGGTGTGTAAAACTTGAGGAGGCAGCCCAGCAGCACTCTCGGCTCCTTGGACACAGAGGAGTGAAAACTTAGTTGTTTTGCATCTCAGGATGAAGGATGCCAGGTTGGGATCGGGATACTGGATTGGGAATATGATAGAGGCCTTTTAGTGTGGAGATGTTTCAGGTGAGACTAACATTGCTTGGAGAATCTTTCTAAGATGACATTAAAAAAAAAGTCAAGGTCTTAATTCAGCAAGCAGTACCTTAGCCATAGCAGGGTTGGTTTTCCATGTTTCAAAAACTGTTAACTTCAAAGTTGAATTGATGGACAAATGAAATCAGTTGGGAGGGAGGAGGCCTGAAGAAGAGTCACTAGATAAAATTTGAGGAAAGCTCTTTAGCTTCTGAAATGATGGCTTTCCCATTTATCCTGGATATTTTGGGAGGCATTATTCATATCTTCACCCCATCTCTTAGGCAACTCAGCTGTACTTTAACATTTTTTTTTTTTTTTAAAGCCCAAGTGATTTTCATGGTTCGAAAAAAGCTGTTCTGTGCTACTTCTAACAAATGCTTACTGCAAACTTTTGGATGATAACATTGTATTCTTTGCACAGCTCTCATGTGTTGTAGCGGTCAGACAGTGCAATGAATTACAGTCCTGGCTAAGAGGGGAAATGAAAACATTTGTGTTACAGTGAAATGAATTTAGATGGAAAATAGTTGCTGGGATTCCAAAAAGCTCTATAGGTGATCACCTATAGTCGTTGACAGCGACATTTTATTGGAATGACAGTTCACATCAGAACAATGACTAATTATGGGACATTTTTTCCAGGAGGTCTTAGAAGTGATGGCTCTTGTGTCCCTTGCTGAAAGATTTTCACTTCCATACACAAGTAGACAGTGTGTACGTATTTCAGATGATAGCTCCAGTAATTGCCCTTAGTCACAGGTAATTTATACAAAAGCAGTTTATCTGGTTACAGTTTTAAGTTGCAGGTAAAATAAATGTTTACCAGGGTATCGTATCAGTTATAAAAGTGAATATGGCTAGAAACCTATGTGGTGGAAAGAGGTTTCTGAAAACAAGCAATTCCTCTGGAATAACATTAAAGAATTCTTTGAGAGCAGCGAGAAGTTCAGTTAATTTCATAGAGATAAATGGTATTTTAAAAAGCTATTTTTGTGATAGGCAAATATCTGTGAAATACTTTCTCAGTTGTGCCATTAAAAAAAAAAAGAATAGATGTCCAATTTTAGGAATAAAACACCAACTATTTGATGTTAGTCAACATTAAATATCAAAATTGTGACCCGCAGTGTGCTCCTTGAATGAGAGGTTTTCTCCTTTGCTGGCTTTATCAGGGTTAGCAGCAGTAGCTCTACAAGAATGCAAGTGGAAAACAATGAAACTAAAAACGCGTGCTCATTAGAGTCGTGTGAACCAAGCTGTAAAAAATCAGAATCAGAACCAATAGCCTTTTAAACTTGCATTTATCTATCTCATACTGAATTAACAACTAAAACTGTGTCTTTGAAGAAGACGGGAGTTGAAATTGTGTTCTTTGGATGATCGTTTGCGTAAAGTGAAATTCCTAAGGAAAGGCACCATGTATTGAGTTGTCACTTTATTTCATAAATGATTGTCACCAGAAATTTACTTACAGGGTAGTGGGAAATGTGGCCTTTTCCCCTTCAAACATGATGACACTTGGAAATTTTAAAATATTTTGGAATGAATTGTGGAATAGATTTGTTCCCGCCCCCCCCTCCCCCATTTATTACTTGTGTTGTGCAATAATAGTGTTAGTTTCTGTGCCACATGCTTGCACGTGTCATCTCATTCAGTTCTATGTCAGCCTTAAGTGGTAGATCCTCATGTCGCAGGTGAAGAACCGGAGACTAAGAACTTGCCCCAGGTGCCATCGTCAGTACTGGCAAATGATGTGATTCAGGTTTTCTCCACCACATCTTATGTCTCATTCATTGAATGTTTTGTTTTCAAAAGTTTAAGGTATATGGTTGAGATAGTCTGATCTGAACCTTTTTTGGGCTATGCATAATGTAACCTAAAATCCTGAATTTTTTTCCTAATTAAAAAAACAACCACCTCGTGATTCCGTAAGCACCTTTGTCAAGATGCTTCTGATTACATTTCGCCTAGTAAGTGAGCAGCGGCTATATGGTGGGGAATTGGGTATGCTTTGGCGACCTTGAATAAAGATAAAAATTGCCCTAAGCCTCACTGTTCTCTTCTATGAAATGGGAATAGTTACGGTGTCTACCATTCGGGGCTGATGCAAGTATTAAATGAGGCGTTAAGCAGTGAATGCAAAGCGTTTAGCACACTGGTGTTCCCCGCTGGTGTAGAGCACTGGACTCTGTTCCTTAAGACCTTCATGACCATAGATTCGCTTCATGTTGGGCTGGGAGTATAATTCTGCAGCTGGCTTTCCATGAGAGTCGCAGATCTTCAAGTAGAATGAGGCCTTTTAATTCAACACCTCACCTGGAGGAATTTACCTCTAGCATCCTTCACCAGTTAGTTCCTCCAGCCCTGTTAGACTCTCCAGTGACTAGATCCATTCCATTTTTGGCAGCGCTAATTATTTTTAAAAATTCCTTTTATTGAGTTGAAATCTGCCTCCCTTTAATTTCCAGGAGTTGGTATTAATTTGGCTATATGGGTCAATATAAAGACGTTTAATTCATCTACCAGGGCAGTTCTTCAGATGCACACATTTAGCTTTATTTGTTTTCTTATAAATCTTCTGTGTGTGTTTTTTTTTTTTATGTAAGTTCCATTATTTCCATCAACCTTTTGTCATGTGGCATTACAGCACGGGTGAACTTAGATTTTCATACTTTTTACTATATTTTCCTTCTTTGTATATTCTCAAATTTTGCAGTGACTCTCTTATGTGTAGTGAGCAGAAATGAAGAAAACGCACTGGCTGTCATTTGACCAGAGTAGAATATACTGGGACTTGACGTCCTGCTGAATTAAAAAAACAACCAAAAAACAGGTTACAAAATAGCATTTGTAGTATGATCCTGTTTTGTTTTTTAAAGAAAAAATAGGTGTGCCCTGGCCGGTGTGGCTCAGTTGGCTGAGTGTTGCTGGTTTGAGCCCCGGTCAGGGCACATGCCCGGGTCTCGGGCTCAATCCCCGGTGGGGGGCGGGCAGGAGGCAGCCGATCCATGACTCTCTCTCTCCCCCTCTCCCTTCCTCTCTCCCTAAAAATCAATAAAAAAATATTTTTTAAAAAAAGAATTTTGTGTGAACATTTATAATGCGCATTAAGAAGCCTGGAATGATGACACCCAAGTGTAAATTGTGTTCATCTTCGAGCGGTAGGATTGTGCACGATGGTTATTTTCTTCTCGATTATGTACATTTTCCATTACTTTTCAATGAACGTATATTATGTAAACAAAAAGAAAATAGCAGCTATTTAAAACATGATACAATGAAGTTATCACCTTACTGTTATCGATCTGAGACCTACCTTAACACAGGTAGCGTTTTTCTAAGCTGTATGGTGGCATTCGTTCACATTGGGCAGATACAACTTCCAGGTATTTTTTTTTTTTTTAAATGACCGGTGGAGCCATGCTTCCCCTACCTGGTGCTTGTAAGTGTGTTGCATGAGCTTAAATGAATCCTGTTACATTTCAGCTTATTTGTTTTCGCCTATGTTTATAACCGGCCTAGATCTTCGTGACCCTCGAGCCTGCCCTCCTGCGCGCTCACCTCTCTCCTCCGTCATCTGTAGATTGAGTAAGCATGCTTTCTGTAACGGGAGTTCAGCACGCCGCGATGTACCTCTAAAGAGCCCCTCTGCAGCGTGGCGTATATTTAAAGGTGGCAATCTTTACGCGTGGTGTTTCTACCAGCACTGAAGCCACTTGATAGAACTGTCAGCTGCTTCTCTCCAATACACCTGTGAGAAGGTTATGGGGTGTTTTACCCACTGCCTTTCTACATTCACGCTGTATCCTGTGTATGGCTTTCCTTTGCTCTGCCCCTTTAGTGCTAAGTCTACAAATTCCATCCAAATCAGGCTACTTTACTACAGCTTGTATCCGGTGGTGAACCCCTGATGACGCCTAATACTGATGCGTCTAATTCTTCTGGGCCTGGAGACTTACACCCATTCGAAGCAGCTAAGTGTCTCTTAGGATCTCTGTTTGGAGCTTCAGTAATCTCCTAACATGATTTGTTTATCCCGTTCTGGTTTGGAAATGATTGTCACCAGGGAAGCAGAAGCAGACTAGGAGTTGGGCAGACTCGGATTCTTGGCCTTGTTCAATGTCACAGGAAATTCTCTTGTGGTCTAAAACCGTCCATGTGTGTTTTTTTTTTTAACTGTTCCTCTGTCCAAGCTCAAGGTTACATCAGCTGCCGTAGCAGTGAACTTTTTTACCTCCCTTAGCTGAAAGGGACATTAGCATTTTTCAGGACAAGTATGTACTTCTGTTTATATGTGTTTGTTTTCAGTTATATTCCT